CTAAAATTTATCATTCAGTGGGGATAGCTGTCCTTTATGATCAGATTCGCTTTAGTCTGCCACCGATGTAGCTGGCGGAGACTTTCCTGAAGACGAGAGGATTCATAATGCCAGCGCGGAAGATGCACTGGCGATGTACAGATGGGTTGAGGAGCTACCGGCATGACTTGGAGAGCACACCACTGGGCAGAGATGCAAAGACGGGGTTTTGAGTGTCCGTGACACAAAAACGGTGCGATGAAAAAATAAATAAAACATTACAGTTCGTACAAAAATTTAGATGGAATGGAGGTCGGTGAAAAGTGGCAAAGGATGTTTAACAAGGAATTAGGTATGAGAAGGTTATGCAAAATTTCTTAAAATTATAATCAACCTGCATTATTTTTTCCTCTTGCCCAGATGACTTAAATGGTGGTGCAGTTATCAAAACGACTCACAAAGATGACTTATTGTAACATGTAGGGAATTTTGAATACATGCAATTGTCTCGCGCTTCATGAATGCATTAGGAATAGAATTAACCTCGGTCCCTTAGCCGCTGAAACTTTTTGTAAACTTGTCGTATAGCCTTTGGGAGATGGTGTGATAGCGACATGAAATGGTTTAAAGAGTGTGATCCCAGTGATGACTCATCCAAAGATAGGTACACGCTGATCATGACAATCCTCTGATCTTAATAATAAAGGATTGTGCATTGCCTTGAATAAATCAGGATTGACACGTCAAGACTTTTAGTTATACCTAAAGTGAATGGTGGCCGAACAATTTGTTTAGGCCAGCATAAAATGGGGAAGTTATTAAGCAGATTGACATCACATTCATTTTTTGAGATGATAAGCGGGTTTAAACGCCGTCATCTTGTATTCCTTATTTTTGTCAATCGTCACATAAAACAAAGCCTTTTGTTTGCTGTCCGAATTGGGATGAGGTAAGGCTTTTGTATTTCAACATACCATTAATTGCCCTTAAACAATTAACACAATACACACTTTACACCTCCTAGACACGAAACACCTAATTCCCACCTAACTGCTTTGTGTGTGTGTGCATGTGTGATGAGCTGCAGACAAAACAGTTCACTAGTCGAAGGCTGAACAAGTTATGGCAAGTTTAGCGACTAATGGGAAAATCATGTTTTTACAAGGAAGTGCAAAATCACATATTATAAAACTGATTGGTGAAATGATTGGCACATTAGGGTGGGAGGAATTACTGCTTCATCCTCATTATTTCATAGTTTCCCGATAATAACACTTTAAGTACCGATTATCGCCCCCATCTTGACGTCAGGAATTCACATGCAAAATAGACGGACAGAGAACTAATTTGATATAGAAATGGTGAAGAATAAATGCTTGCATAGACGTTAAACTAAAAAACGTGCATCTTGTAGGAATAATGACTACTAATGAAAACTACTGCAAGCAATTTCCTTTAATTACTTAAGTTTTGTTACAAATTTTCCTAAACTTATTTGGTAGCCTTATAGTCTTGTTGGGTTAAGCCTGTACCCCAATTCATTTCATCCAGCAGTGGAGAATGCCAACTATGCATTTTCAGCCTTGAAAAACAGCTGCATATGTAGTATGAAAACCGCCCATTGGTGGTGCATTCCTGTTTTACTTTTGCCAAATTTTGACAACCACATTCCCAAATTTGGCCTAGCAGGCTGCGTGGACAACCCCGTGCTTTGCTCGCAGAAAGTTGACATGAAAAATGGAGGTGACATGCGGCGCCTAAATTAAAGTTGTGATCTTCGTGGCGCAGCCGCTGTTTTAATCACCCGCAAATAAAAATAAAAAGGGACTGACTTAAAAGTATCCTAGTCAAGTGAGCGCTGACTTGGCTGCATTCATACTAATGAAATTTAGAAAACTAGCTGTGTTATTGGGTAGACTAATGATCGTATTCCATTCCTTCACAATACATTGAGTATCTATGTGAATATTGCCTCTAAATCTCTAAAGAAAGGATATTTCATTAATGGACGTAATAGGGCTAAGTAACCCATAGAATGTTAGACAAATCATGTAAATGGCAACAAAACTTAGCCTTCTGTCATTCTGTCCTGTTTGTGCTGCCTTCTGTTAGTGTTCTGACGGACTAACTATAGTATGTCGTGGCTAGAATCACTTGCATGCTAGCATTTATTCTACACTGACTTCAAAGGTCAGGACCTACTCTTTTTAAAGTCGAAAAATTCAAACTATGGATAAAAAATTGACAGGCCGTAATTGTGTTAAAAAATAATTACATGACAGTCATAGTGATTTTGGAAACGGGAACTGTCAACAGCGCAGGCATTATTAATCCTATTGAGAATGCTAAGCCAGACAAATGAAAAGTCTCTATCCATGGATAAAATGACATTGTTTTCCCGACTGAAAGCAGCTTTAAGTCAAGAGAAAAGAAATTAGTAGATGCAGGAATTTACAAAAAAAATAGAATGCTTGTAAAATTTGAAGCCAATTTTACATTGGGCCTTGCAGACTGGGATATTAATTATGCAAAGACAAACCATTTTTTAAACAGAAGTGATTTAACCTAGGTTATCAATACTCTAAAGTAAAAAGGATATTTTTAGACATTAAAATTTATGCTCAGAAAGTGACTTTACGTGTCGCTATTCGTTTTTATTACCGATGATATTTCGCGGTGGTTTTAGGTTGCCCCTATCAGTTAGCGTCCATTGTTAGTGACATTTTAAGGCTTTTACACGAACAGGGACTATAAAAATCGTATGATACTAGAGATACATTTTACTCAATAACAAATACAGTGATGGATTAACTTTAAATCCATGGTACCTCCGTTGGCGATCCTCAAGTGGGCATCGCTGAGATCCTATTTTGACTACAAACAAGCGTCTGGTGCTGTCTGTAGGTGCTTCCGGTAGGAAACTGTACTATCTTTCCCTTTTTATGGTTTCAAGCGTTTATAAGTCTCTCCATAATGTCTTTGTTCCGTTTCCTTACTATCTCACTAGTTGAGTAACCACGATTCCAGGTGTTCGCTGCTTACAAAGACGAAACTCGTCTCAAGCTCTTATCGGGTCCTCCATCGGGGTAAGGCGCCATCTGTACTGTAGAATATTCAAATAAACTGCTTTCATTCGTCAAAAATTAGCGTGAGTGCGCAGGAATACAAATTGAGGGGAATCATTCAGGCGTTAGGAAATAGGTGCTAGAAGTGAAAATTTCCAATTTCATGAACTGGCAAAGGAGACGACTTCTATGAAGGCACTTCAAAAAACGCTTATGCGGTACTTTGGGTACTTGTTTAACTCTTCGTTTTGGTTTCGCGGGCACTTAGAGCTCTGCGATTGCAATTCCTCCGGGTGGCATGGCCTCTGGGCCACAATAGTAGCCCTCCAGCCCCTCTGTACTTCGTCAACACATGCTTCGCCCTAGTATTGTGTCTTCTTTCGACCCCATGGGGGTCTCAAGGCCTTGAACCTACTTTGACACACTTTGCTTTTATTTCACATTGATTCCTAAGCTTATCCTAGGGACAAGATCTACTTTTGTCGAAAGTTCAGAACAAAAACGCTTATTTGTGCTCGTACAAACCGCTTGCCATCAGCATGGGCATTTCGTCGCCTATAAAACCCAGCCTCAAAGTTGGACCAAATTCATCCACTCGTGCCACAATCTGTTCAAGATGACATGCGGTGTTCAAGCGAGCCTTGTAACAAAATTTTGCCTTCTAGTCTCTACTCAGAGTGGGCAACATTTCAAGCGACCATTATCCTGCATAAAAGTTAAGTCGATAATCCCTAATCACCATAAATTTAGTACAGAAGGGGGTTCTGAAATGCGTAACGGTCGTCCATGTCCTCGCAACATTGCAGATGGGTGTCGCTTAACCATTTGGCTTCGCAAAGGTGAGATTTCATTTAATTGCGGTTATAGCTAATCCCTCCAGAATATTTAAAAGTACATGCTCATAACTATAAACGGAAAAGAAACGACTGTCCTTGATCAAATACAATGGGCCGAAAAATAGGCTAAAAATATGGTTACAATTGCAAAAAGGCCTTTATAAATAAAAGCAAAACTTACAGTTGATGCAACCACACTTGTCAAATTTTGCATGTATTCTTAAAAAAGGAAAATAAATCACCTCCTAAGGGCCAAAGACGGGAAAGTGGTGAATAATTTTTGTTTTACGGATGTTAAACTTCCACATATTTCCCGTAACTTTTCCTACCCATTTGTGGCAAAAATCCACCACCTTAACATTTGCCGGTTATAAAAAAATGACAAGGAACAAACTTGGCTGGCTTTAATTGTGTAATCAAACAAAATGGTCAGGAATATGAGGCAGAGTTCAGCACGCAGATTTGATTTTTTCCTGTCTTTAGCTAAATAAAACTCTTAAAAACCAATTGTTTTGACACAATGGACTAATAGCCACATTAAGGCCTACTTTTTCAACTGGGTTAATTATGTACGAGTGCTTTTAATAGATAAGGTTGCAAGTGCACATTTTAATTGGGTAGGTTGCTAGTCTTTCTTTGTGATGTGTCGGTCGTTTCTTAGGCAAGGCATCTGTTAGTCCCTTTACTAATTTGCCTCTGACACTTATTTATATGTCATGGGCCTTTGTGGGCAATCTTTCTCTGTATCTCTGCCGCTTGATTCTGGGCAGCACATCACTCCTTGACTTTGTTTCAAGGCTTTGTCTTTGTTTCTCTGCATTTTAATTTTCCCCTTGCCCCATTTTTATGTTTTGGAGGTCTTGCATACACATTTGTTGTGTTTAATATGTCTTGGGAGCCCATGCTTTGGAAGATGGGGGTCATGGTTTCGTCTATTTCGTTTCCTCTTACCGGAGTTTGCTAATTTTGTCACTTAGATACAGATACCTATCCTAGTTTCAAAACGAAGGCGTTTCTATCCGTGGTGCTTCTGCTAACACAGCTCGCGACTTACGGGTTGTACTAGTGTTTACAATACTTTTGTCTCACTTTTAGGCAACGGCTCCGCAGGCGCCCCTTCATGGGCGTGTTATTGTCACGGATATGGAGTTTCTTCCGTCCTGAGGGCACCAAGATAGTGCTGGTGGGCCTGGACAATGCGGGCAAGTCAACTATCCTTTACCAGTTCGTGCTGAATGAGGCGGTTCAAACCTCACCCACCATTGGTAGTAACGTGGAGGAATTCAAATGGCGCAACCTCCACCTTGTTATGTGGGATCTGGGTGGGCAGGAGTCGTTGCGACCCACATGGAGCACCTACTATGCCGGCTCGGAGTTCGTCATCCTCGTCATCGACAGCACCGACCGCGACCGGCTCCCTATCTCCAAGTCGGAGCTCTATGCCATTCTGGCGTCAGAGGACTTGCGCAAAGCGAAGATCCTCATCTTCGCCAACAAGCAGGATGTCATCGGTTGTATGTCAGTGGCGGAGGTAGGACATAAACTGAACCTCACCTCGATCAAGGATCATCCTTGGCATATTCAAGCTTGCTGTGCGCTCACTGGGGAAGGGTATGTGGATGCCCACTTTTTTTCTCTATCTTGCGTTATTTGTTCTTTTGACGTAAAATACACTTATCCGTTCGTTTTGGGCTGGCATCCAGCATCTGGGTTACTTCTATCGCCTGATGAAGCAGCCACTAGTACTCAATGTTCTCATATCACAGCTTTGATTTTATCATTGCTATTTTAGTAGACTTCTCATATATTATTTAGCGTTCTCTTTGTTACTGCAAACTATTTTGGTGGCATTCTGCAAAGCTAAGCTGGGAAAAGTTTTCACATTGAGGCTTTATTCTCAAGGCTAATTACTGCACTTCGAACTTTATGTTCCATGGGGCAACCAGCTCTTAAGTAGCATTTGGACTGGTTTTCCATTTTTGTAACGAAGTAATGTGTTTAGCGTTCAAATTTATTCGGCTTTAAATGCTATCTGAGACAATTTTTCTCGTGAAAACGTTTCAGAGTTTCATCCGATATTGTAAACAATGCATATCGCTTCGACTAAATTTTAACCTTAAGAAACTAACCTTTGTGTACAATTTATTACACGAGTAGCTGTTAGGTAGCATAAAGGTTACGCTTACCTGTGTGAAATAAAATAGGGATTCAATGGCTACCAATTGAATCATATCGTACGTGGAGTTTTCTCTGGGTTCTTTTACGCAGTTGACAGTCCGAATTTCTTTCATTAATATAAACTAGCAGGATTATTTGATTTAAATCGACCTTTGAATTTAAAGTCTTTGTAAATTTAATTAAAATTGGCTCAGTATTACCTACCATAGTGACATCATAAGTATAGGCGACAACATTGCCTGCAAGATGATCAAAATGTCTCTTTGATTACCAGCACGTTATTCGCGCCTTGCATGAGTAACGCTGATGTATGGAGCACCTGAAAATACAGTTCTGTTTTTGCAAGCACTTCGGGCGGATTGTACTTTGTTTTATCTGTTTGGACTATTTAGCGAATTTATAGTCTTCGTTCTTGAATTTAATTTCGTATAATCTGCAGTAGTGATTCTGTTACATAAACATTCGACCGTTGTGGCGGCGACACTATCACCATGGCTAACACTTGTGGTTAACCACTTAGTTAAACAGATTTTTTGTCATTTGTCGTTTTGGTTAAATCGACAGTTCTGTAGGCACAGCAATCACGGGACTTAACGCTTTCAACGACCACTTTAAACAAAATCGGTGCGCTCACGAAGGCTGGCAATTCAGCAGACTTGCCAATCAGCTTCTAAATTATACATTTAGCACGGGATTATTTGGAATGCAAAATCGCTCCAATGAGTTGCACAGTTAAGAAGAGCGGTCTCATTGTTTCTTTTCGTATTGGTGCCCTATCATCCAGTCACAGCATTTGTTTGCGAAATTACACAAAGGTTAATCGTACAGACTTGCGCTCCTTATAAGTCGTAATAACTTTCATTATTGCGAAATGTCGTCATTTGTACCGTGGGCGTTAATCCAGCTAACCGACCGATTGTCTGACTAGCTTTTCTTCATGTGCACTCCTCATTTCTTTGTGCATGGTGAAGTACTTTCCTGTATACATAGATTGAATTTATTTTGGCTGTTTGCATCATTGCTTTCTGCCTCCAGAACCGTACATTCTTGTTTCTTTTTTACCCGCATCGAAGATGACAGGTACTTGTTTTGATTTTCATTCCGACCGAAAGGTTGACTTTCTGATAGTATTTTTTGTCTTTTGATGCATATGGAAGTACCTGTGTTCATCTAGATTCGACATTTTTTATTGAAACCGGCTCACTGGTAATTGTAAGGTTATATTTCCAGAAAGCAAATAACACACTTTAGTGAGACGACTATCAGACCCTTTATTTTTATCAGATTATGTGAAAATTTTATAAGCCGATAAAGATGTTTTTTGTGTGCTTTATTCGCCAAAGTTAGAAGTTAGACCTTTCTGCAATCCGCTGCTTTGTAATTTTACCAAATCCGAATCTGAGACAGCTTTTTTGGTATTGGAATCGCTCCATTAAGTACGGAATTGTTTCTTCGGCTTGTGCCGCTTTGAATGCTTTATTAGGCTGTGTTTATAGGTCTCTTATCCGCATAGCAACTATACTACTCTTTTATCAAAATATCTTTGTCGATCACCATTGATATGCTTTGATAGATACCGATTCCCAGAATGAATCTAATTAATTGGAATTTGTTTTCTGTTGGTCGGTGTTAGAGAAGAAAAACGATGTACTCCAGTTTAGTTATCTCGAAAAACCGCAAGTCAATAGAAATCAGTTAATCTTTAGGGACTACTTTATTTGGCATCATGCCATATCTCATTGATTAAATCCTCATCAAAGACTAGGTCATTTCAAAGATCATTGAGGCGGTTTTGTGCTCTTTAATCTTGTGAAGTGACTTTCCAGGACCAAAATAAAGTTGGTATGTAGCCTTACCCGGTACTAATTTATTGAAAGAAAGGAAAGTTTTGTATTCTGTGAAAAAAAAGGGGGCACCAATGATAAAAGACTAGGAAAGTGTTGTGTTTTGAGAGACGCAGATATGTGGATGGGTTGAGTCGTCATGGCACACGATCCCCATCACGTATCTGCTCTCTCTGAAATTTTTGATGTAGAATTAGTCGCTAAACATTGCAGTTTGGTTGCTTGTTCGGAAATGATGGAAGAATTCACATGAGGACCATTTCGAATTGGAGGTGCAACCACCAAAAGAAAAGTACATGATGAAGCTATAATTGGTTGGTTGATAGTGAGGGAATAAACTCAACCGTCTTGTGACTCAACACAGGAATAAAAGTGGAGCACAACATGCCAGCTATGTATCACCCAGAAGATGAAGCGAAGTACCATCCTGGAACCCGATTAGTTTATTCATGGTGAAGAGGAAACCATATTTTGATGATCTATATTTGACTCTTCCTTTCATTTTAAAGCAAATGAAACCTTGCATTTTGTGAGGTCTGTTGAGTGCTCAGGTTAAATTTTGCCATCACTACGAGTTCAGCGCTCAGAACCAATGTAGCATCGAGAAAATCGAATGGTTATCTGATGATAAATGATCTTTTGGTATATGAATTCCCCTTACTCATTCTTCACAAAGAAAGGGAAAAGGAAATTGCACATTTCATAACGGAACAGCGTCAGGTTCCAGTGATGTCATGTGATGCTTTGCTGCTTCTTGAATGGACAGATTGATTGTCTGATTGAAAGTGAAGAAACCGTGGATTTATGGTTTTTATTAAACTTTTTCAGTGTGGAAGAAATTTAGTCAATTCACGTCCGGCCTGTTAACCAAGTCTGCAGAGAATGGGGGGTCCACATATCCGCCCTTCCATTACAAACTAAGATCGCGGATAAATATGGAATTCCATTCCTTAGCGAGAAAATGTTGCATTCAGAACTAGCTATGGAATCACTAACGGTTCTGTGGTTGGTTGGTTTGGTAATAAAGAAGAGATTTAGTTGTACATGAACCCCATTATACTGTTTCATTAAGACAGTATCCAGTCTTTAAAAGCGACGACGGAATTACGCGAAGCGGTGCATCACTTTGCATTCCTTTGAATTTCAGCCTTACCCAAGGCCTGGAGTGGATTGCCTCTCAGGCGGGCAAATAACACCTTGGTTTACGTGAGCTGCTCAAAGCGCACTGCACACTCCAAGCCACGACGATCCCAATCATCCGGTCATCCAGTCGCGATTCCTGAACGTGTGTGTGTCCTCCGACTGCAACCGCATTGTCACTTTCCTTGTACAGTCTGTCCTCGCCCCTACTTCCCCATGCCTTACAAGTTATGTCCCCTCCTTCTTTCACGCACTAATTAACTTCCCTTTATGTATACCTCTGCTCCCCATATTAACTCTTGTGATTGTAATTTTTACAAACTGCGTGTAAGATGAACGGAAAAAGCTGAGATGTTTTCCTGCCCCTTTCATCGACATCTATGTTGAATGGAAAGTGGTCTCCGAACCACACATGATGTTTTGCCTTTGGGTGGTAGGAATTCGATTGAGCGTTCATTTGGTGGCGTGATGGTGCTATTTACACAGTCCACTTTATCCCCTCGAGGTTTGGATCGTAGAAAACCTAGCAGAAATATTGTTGAAATCGGTGGGTTCGTGAGTGGGTGGTTCGTGGTTTCTCCTTGATCGAAGTAACTATGCACAGTACTGAACGTAAATTAAGGGGTTCTGGTCCAAATTGAAGTGCAGGTGATCCACTTTAGGCCGACAAGCCTTGCTTTTTAAGACAGGATTGGGTTCTTATTTGCTGTGGTGATCAAGACTACTTTTTTGGATTTGGACTGTATTGTGCAAGAATCGAGGTATTGAAGGCGATATTTAAAGAATTAGTTGTGAAATTGTGGAGGTTCAGCCAGATAGTGGTCCTAACAACTATATCAGTTTAAATACTTCCTGATGCAATCAAATTATTCACGCGGTCGTTTTACGATTTGTACACCTTCATTATGATATTTTACGCTAAGAAAATAAGTTAATTCTATTTTCCCATTCTTTAATCTTGAATTGAAATATTTAGTAGAATTATCATACAACTTGAATGCTCATAAAAGCTCCCACTTAGCAGATTCCACGTTAATGAATAGGTACAGGGCGGGGTCAACAAAACCTCAGCTGATTGTTTTAGTGAGCAAGCGGAAAGCCTGGCCTTGGTAACAAATTGGGATATCAAAGGTCCTAGTTCTAGTTTCTAAAATCTATGAGACTGTTTCAAAGCCTTATTACTGCGTTGAAAGTGCATATTTTAGTTCTAGCTTTTACTATTGGAAATATTTCCCGCGTGGTAAATGGCCCAATCCCTGTAGTTTTCAATGGTAATAAACCTTATTCGCAAGATGGACCTCAAGGGTTTGGTGCATTCAATTTACAGGATTTATGCCTAGAAATAATACGGAAAATATTAAATGAACAAGGCCTTTTCAAGTGTGTTATTTGGTGTGTTGATTCCGCGGGTTGCACTTCCACTCAGCGGTATGAGCAAGCCGCTAAACCTCAACTTCAACACTTCGGCAGGGATGCAAATCGCTTCGTACTGAAGTAGACTACTACTGCCTCAGGGGAGGTTAGGTTTCCCATAATATGTTAAGTACCCTTTTTCCAACCCATGAAAAAAAAATGTTAAAGAGCCAACAGTCAAAACGTATGTTTGGGACTGATATCACTGAAAAACTATGATTTGACACCCTTTGGGAGTAAACACATCTTTTTCGAGTTGTGCGTATAAAACGATTAATCGAAGTCGTTCTTATTAAAATCATGCCTGTATTTTAAAATGCCGTGAATACAAACTCATCCCAAATAAGTTAAGGGAAGTTTATGAAGGAATATTAAAACTGGGAAATCAAGTAAAACTACGGGCTTTTAAAGAATATGAGGAAGATGAATGTGCACATGAACATCCTAGGAATCAGATGTAATAAGGAGCACACAATCTGATCATGTAAAAAGTGTGTGATCATTTTGGAGTTAACCGTAGTGCGATCCATCTACTCGAAAAATCCATTCATTTATGTTAGACAGACAGAACTGTACAACACAATTAACCAATGCCTTTTGAAATGTTTTGCCTTAGATTTTTAAATTTACGATGTAATCAATTCATTTAACCTATAATCATTGTGCTAATAACTAATAAACAATTAGAAATGGTGCCAAGTGGTTTTGTCACGTTTTAACTGTTCTCAAACTCTTACTTTACAAACAGTAAAATAAACGAAAGACAACTTAGTATGCAGTTTCATTATACGTCTCCGAACTTGTGTATTCCTAGCTCTTCCTTCGTTTAAGTGAATTGCTAGGGTCCGTAGCACTTTTAAACCTTACCGTGGTAATGGTGAGCTTCTCCCGGGACATCTGTTTTCATCAGTTTTCTGAATTCCGCACATAGTTTTGTTAGACCCTTGAATAACAAAGTTATAACTTTACCTCTTTTGTTTTGACACCATCTGCCGATCGAGTAGGATCGCCATTACACTTGTATCTCGCGTCACTCCTGAGTCTACCAAAGCACACCTCATATTCTTTAGTCCATAGGCTTTGCTAAACCGAGGTCATTGGTCGTTTCCTTGCTATAATGGTCCTATTTTACCTAGGCTGAAGAAGTTAATCCCAAAGCATACCCTTTGGCCAGTCCGGAGTTAACCGGGAAGATTATTGAGTTGCTGAAACAAGCTGCGTCTTACAAGCAGCTCAAAAAGGGTGCCAATGAGGCTACCAAGGCTCTGAATCGTGGCAAGGCCGAGTTTGTCGTCATGGCTGCGGACACAAACCCCATTGAAATTGTTCTTCACATTCCTCTCGTCTGTGAAGACAAAAATGTACCGTACATTTTCATCCCATCTCAACAGGGTCAGCTTTTTCAAACCTTGTATTTTTTTCCGTTCCCTAGCTTGCTGAAATGAGATTTCTTTGTCTCTCTTCCTAGCTTTGGGTCGCGCCTGTGGCGTGTCCAGGCCGGTGATCGCTGCTGTTGTGACTGACAGCGAGGGTTCGCAGTTGAAGCCGCTCGTCAGTAACATCCAAATGAGTATTGAAAAGCTATTGTTATAACTACCATCAAGTTTGTGTATTCCGTGTATATTCATTACCATTGTGATGTCCATTTTTACCGTTATTGTATTTACTCGATTTTGGAGTCCAATTATCTGGCTGACGGGTCATGGCTAGTTAAGGACCTGGTTCGTATAGTCGAAGTGAATTCTTTATGTCGGTACTCGGGATGATATTCGGTATTTCTGAGTTACTAGCGGCGCCTGTGTTCGGTCGAGCTCTTGGGGTTATACTGATCCTTGCGTTTTGACGGTTTTTAGGTAACAATGTGGTTATGTACTTTGGGCGACTCTCAGCTACTTACTGAAAAATGTATTCGGACTGTAGTTTTCAGTAAACTTGTATCCAAAGGTAAAATGTCGGATGATGAGTTGTTGCGTTTGGATGTCAGAACTGGCAAGTTCTTGGTATGCTTCGGTGGACGATTTCCCCGTTTTTGAGTCACAAATTGTAAGCTTTAACTGCTGACGTATTTTTTGCATCAACAAGGTGCCTTTTCGACAAGTCGTAGGAATCAAGAAACTTAAAGTGCTGCTTTTTTCGGGGGCTGAATAGCCTTTCTCGGAGACTCATGTAATTTCCAGCACAAAGTGATTCATCTGGGCATAAGTCCTGTTGTGTGTCGGCCTAGGAACTTAGGTTGATGGCTTGCGTTTGAATGTAGCTCCATTCACTGGTAGTTTCGGCTATACGGTCGCTCTTCCACTTTTCGCCAAACCCAATTGTGGATTACCAGTCATATTAAGTGCCCACGTATCGCTGTGGAAGTTCCTGAACTTGCTTTGATCGTAGTGCAGCCGAACAGCCTCTTTGATTTAACATTCAATCACTCGAAGTTCACCCTGAGTGGAGACGGTGAGTATTGAAGCGCAGCCCTGACGCACTTAAGAAATACTGAGATAAAACCCCAATCGAATCATCTGAGTATGATAATGGTAATCTCTCAATCATAATCGGTGGCGCCACGAGTCTTCCTTGAGCTTGCAGCAACTCGCGGCCACGCAGAAAGTTCATTACTAGACGAAAGAGCTAAGAGGCTATTGGCACTGACACAAAGCCAAGCAGCTTTGCAATCGGCAGAGACTAGGTGGTTTTCTATGGTGGGGGTGCCGAACAATGTATTTTGTATAGAGTGACCGGGGAGCTATAGATTTGGCTCAAAGGACATACTGTTTACCAGAGGAACAAATGCGAAACCCGAAGAGCGTACGCATCTTGGCATGCAATTAAATAAAACATGAAATCATCACAACGTTCAGTTTTGGCCTCCATCAAAGTAGCTCATTAGGCATGTCATAATTCGTCTCCGCTACTGAAGAAAACTGCATAGTCATTGAGCTAACACAATTTTCTGGATGGTAGTGTGCAAAATATGCCCCAAAACAAGATTCGACATAATATAAGGCTTTTACCCTTCATTTGAAATCGTCCCTGATAGGGCATTACACTAAACCGGCATTGAGGCAAGTGGCATAATTTACCACTCACATTGCACACTTGACTCAATTTCACCTAAGGTAACAGATTGCAATGAGTTTTCTGAATCCAGTACAAAATTTATCCCTAATATGATTCACCCTCTTTTGAAGAAGTGAACAGCTATCATTTCGACAGTTGACAGCTGGGATTGAACAAACATTATTTCAGATGAGTAATTCTGAAGTGAGTTTAATGAAAAATTAAACAGTGGTTGGAAAGAACTTGGCAAAAAATTAACACTGACAATAGTCTGCAGAAAAAAAGGGGAAGTGGAGTACATGGCACATTTAGCGACGCTTCATGTTTATTAGGAAGTCCAAATTCTTCCTTAGATTCCTTCATTTTTTCGAAATTTCCGACTTGAATAAATTTATAAAGATATTAGTAAAAGCCACTCTTTTTGAAAACCAACACGTGTAATAATGGTAGGGATTAAAAGAAAAGAGGGTGCATTAATGTTTCTTCCTATCTATCAGAGTTAATTACCTTAAGGACGTAGATTTTTATCGTTGTAATAATCTTCGGCTGATTGCCAAGACCTCCCTTTTCAAAGCTTTGTGTAGAAAACCTCCTCGTGGCAAAACGCTATTGAGTGGTAGGTAGGTGAGTAACGAAATCGGATGCATGAATTCTTTCCCCCAAAATAGGAAGACATTTTTTGCACGATATGAAGATTAATAACTGTCAACGTCTACTCGAAGCTTACTTATTTGAATGCCATACAGGTACCATAGTACGGAAGGAAGCAAGGTCGTCCTACTGTCAACATTCGCAACAAAATGCCACCGACACTTATAATTTTGGGAAAAAGAACCTTAACTGCATTTTTTTTGGAGGACGTAGAAGATATCAGGCTATTATGGTCTATGTAATCCTTTGGTTGGCTGCTTAGCTCTCGGTTTTCGTAAAGAGATATTCAAGGCTCCGCCTTTTTACTTCCTCTGTCAGTAGTCCCCCAGAGCTTACACATATATAATGTTCTCTTTTGACTTCAAGGAAGTCCTGCTACACTGTGTTTGTGGCAGCGGAAAGCGAATCTGATCCCAAAGGACAAATATCCAGTCTTCTATTACCGGACACTAAATTTTAACGTGATCGAAGAAGGCCATATGGTGCGGATGAGAGAATCTGTGACGACCTCTACCAGAAGGTTTGATAATGATGTCCACTTGCAGCAAACAGCCGGCCCCGAGTTCTGTAGGGATGCTATCCACAATCGGAGCGTCACTAGCTGTGGCCGCGAATCATCTGGTAAAGCGCGTTACGAAGCTGTCCATGGTACCTACATGAAGAGGTCACTTAAGTAGACATGCAATACCTCCTCCACCTCTCCATTAGCTAGATGAAACCCCGATAGATATATGACTGGGCAGCATTGAAGTGAGAAAGAAGTGGTGAACAGGAATAGACGCAAAACGTTACCCCCAAGAAGCTATTAAAAACCCCATCCCTTGTTATTTGGTTCTGCTTTTAGGCCACTTTTCTTATCACTAACGGTAGACATATGAGATGGCCAGCACTTTCCCCTTCCTCCAATACAGATCCTAAAAAGGACGAACCTCCGGACCCAGCGGAATTGACAAGAGGCATCAGTGACGTTGCGGTCAGGGAACTTCTCGGTTGCATGCAAATTCGATGACTGGCGCGGTTGGTTGGTGGGTGCTATCTTATAGCATCGACTACATTGCGATGGCCGATGAGGGAGGTCGACCAATGGGAACGCTGGGCACGGAGTTCAAAATATAAGATGGACTGATGTAATGCCTTAATTGTTTGTTTAACGACCAGCTTTGGTGACGGGGTGCTTAAGCCTCCGCGATTGTGCTTCCATGACCTGCGCGTCTTGCCAGTAGCTTTCTTCCCTCCAGCCATTCTCTGCGCTGACAATTCTTATTATGCCCTAATATTGCATTTTCGTTTGTCACGAGAAAAGTCTCGAAACGCTAGAGCAGTGATGATTTCAAAAGTATAACAAAACTTATCAAATTTGAATTAGTTGACGTCTTTAACCCCTCTCTTCTCAAATGATCCAAGAAATGCTTATTTTGGAAAACATTTAATATAACCTTGCCTTTTTCAAAATTTATCGTTATGAGATAGGCTTATGCTCTCTTTAGGGCAATAGGCCAATGTACGCAATAAAAAACCCTAAATTTTATGTCACCTATCTAATAAAGTATGATTCACAATCGTGAAACTAGAGCTAATTCAAATCGACTAATTTTTGTGATACTTTCTAAAGGCAGACGCGAATCTTTCACTCCTCAGCAATTCGGTTTCCAAACTACTGTCGTGGCATTTTCTTCTTCTCATCCAAGTCGCCAATGTCTTAGTCCTTTAGTGCCCTTACACCAGACCTACACGTAGTTTGGAATGCATTTTTCAAGTCCGTGCTTTCCCCCAAGGTGTAAAAAGATTGCGACTCAGTATAAATCTGGAGAAAGGATGGCGGGTCGTTGAGTGGCCACAGGTAACCACCCAAACCACACAAATTAAAGAGCTCACCTAGGCGGATGCAATAGTAGTCTATAGAAGGGAAGAGAATGCTATAGTAACACGAGTTATTTATTTAACCAGTTCACCCGAAAATCAGTTTATCGTCTGAATGTGCGCATTTAATCAGCATGGTTCCAGAACACACGAGTCAGAAATCACAACTAATTGCATAATGATATAACTTAGGAATTCTTCAATGTATAACTATCAGTTTAGTTAACGAACCGCTTAGGACCCTGCCAGTATACCTTGCCGGGCCTCTGAACCAGCCCAGTAACCCCAGGCCCCTCTGTACGTCAACAATACACATTCTGCCATCGTTTTATGTCTTCATTTGTCTTCAAAGAGGTGTCTGAGTGCTACAAATTTAGTGGAACATGACAAATACACAGTCAGGCAGCTGCAGGACTACAGACTTGAAGCGTGGGTTTCGCAAACTGGCATAATCTAAACTAAGATGAACGGAGAGCAATTTGGATGCATTAGGACGGCTTTTAAACGTTTACCTCAAATTTGTTAATCACTTAGCTTTAAAAGTCGGGTGCGTATAGGTAGGATTGAAGTGTCACATTTTAGCAAATCGGAAGGCATCAGCGAACACGTGCCACCCATCAAAAGAAGATAATTTTCTTCATTACGCAGCATTTTTTACTTTATTAACGCCAGTTTGCCATTACGGGTCATGAGGACAATCAGTTTTACAAAAGGTGTTTCGAGAGTCCGTTGCAAATACAATGGAAGACTTCTGTCGAAGTAGAGTGATGTAAGGTTTGACATTTTCGTTTTAAACTTTCGGGCAGATATTTCAAGCACTGCTTGTGCAAGACACATCACAGTTTATTCACTCTACTGTAAAACCAACGCATTTAACTTCATTCGTGCCTAATTTGATGAACAAATAAGTCAACAAGTTTGAATTTTTATTCCCTTATCTCCGAAACTGTCACCGTTTTATGTTTACGGTGGCTAGTCAACCTGTGGCACTCTTCACGACAGGCACGAGCCGTGCTTTTATCAAACGGATGTCGAAGTTGTGAACACAAGGGCAAATGGATAAGGGCATTGAACATGTGCACGGAACAATGGCACAGCAGTATCCACCAATGCGAGGAGATGATATTGTAGATGAGGAGGAAGGCCGGTGTCTCAAGAGCATAGAAGACTAGTGAAGCCAGGAAGAGGATGATTGCGTGGTTGCTGCAATCTCGGAGAATCTCTATCCACAGGTCGACAACCGGTCTGTCGTCAAGGTAATCCAAATAGGAGCGAGCACTGCATATTTGGCAGTGTACAAGAAATTGGAGAATCACAGTGAATACAAATGTGCCTATGAAGACACCGAGAGTGACAATCAACACAATTTTTAGAGCTTCTACACGATTTTCAAACGAGCTTTCTTCAGCAGAGAAGAGACCTTCACTCATGCGGTTTATGGTTAAAATTAGGGCACAGGTCATGTGAACTAGACAGAGAAGCAGGATTATTGCCAAAAGTACGACAAAGGAGGTCTTCTTGAGGGTGAATTGAGGCGGAAAGACAGTGCTAACAAACACTATGCTTGTATTCACTAAAAGAGTGAAGGAGAGGAAGTTCACCTGAAAGACGCTCAAGGCTTGACAGAGAAAAAGAAATTGATCACTATGAATCCACTCCACATTTTTGTAATCACAAATACGCATTGCCACAAAAGGGAGGAAAAAGCTACAAGCTGCTAGGTTGAACAAAGCATTCATGTAGATAATGTGCATGTACCTAAGCCGTGCTTGGATTGCCATGGCCAGAAAGCATATCGGTCGGGTGGCATCGGTCTTTACTAGCGAAGATAGCTCTGACTGCTGCATGGAGTTTAGCATGTCTGATATCCTGTAGATGTAGTTGGATGTATAGAGATCATGTCTGCGCCAATATTTCCTTTTGTAGCACGTGCATAAAATAAATATCGTGAGATTGAAGATCACACCAAGTCCGATAATGATGCAAATAAGAATGAAAAAGATTGTTGATTCATCGTCCTGAAGGCTGAAGCGGAAGAGTTTTAACCAATTCTGCGTTTGGTTACTTGCTAAAGCCTCCGTGGGAGGGGTGAAAGAATCCGTGGTCGATTCCATGGGAATGTGTCTTTAGGTTGGAGCAAGCTATTGACCGATGACCACGGGGTCAGCACGTGCAGACAGGGGCCTGTTTTCCAACCAAGGGTAAATCACCGTCATGTGATGCCGGTGTGACCCCCAAGTCCAAAAAGTAAGCTACTGTGGTGGCGAGGTTAATTTGGCCAAGAACAAAAACTCCGTAAAGCAATAAAGCCATTTTGAGGTTTGCTGTCCAGCCTCAAAGTTCTGTTTCTTCAAAACTGAAAAGGAGGTAACAAACATGTCCTGCAAAATAATATCAGGGTGAAACCAGGTTGGCAGATGGTTTACAATCAAAATAAAGGCGATTTTTAGTGCATGAATCGTACATTCAAGTTATGTATGGCTTTTCAAACTGTCAACAAAAAATGAAGTATTACTAGTTTGGTTTACAGAAAACAAATCGCTTTCAAACAGCAGAACTTATTGCGACAAACTTGTGGTGAATAATTGTAAAACCAAAGAAAAATAATTAGCGAAGTTTTTTCACGGTCTGGTTACATTATTCTGGAATTCTGGCATTTAAAAACTGAATGCTAACACAAAAACAGATCTTTTCGAAAATTACGAATAAGTAATAATACCCTTGAACCCATTAACAGGAAGTGAGGGATTTCCTAAGCAAATTTTTAACTAATTAAACTAGGCATTGCTTTAGCGAATCCTATGACCTTCAAAATGATTGTCTATAAGAGTTGCCTTTTAGCCACTTTTAATGTATCAACTCATGCACGACTTGAACCTCCCTCATCTTTAAAACGCGCTATAGAGAAATCATAGGGTTCGCGGGAATGTACTCGAGATTTTAATGCACTTGTTTTAAAAATTGATGTATCAGAACAGTGGCGACTTCGTTAGGGTCGCAGAAATGGAACATTTTGGGTACAACTTCTTTTTATGGCGAGGCGTTTGTGCTCCACTTGCGTGACTTCTGCACTTTGAACAAATGCCTTATTTGCCTAAAACGCATTCTGAACGCTGGCCCTCTTAGCATTTTTATAAGACTTTAAAAAGGGTTTCTTTTTTCTGGATCTAGCAATCATCAAATTTTTGCGTGAAGTTTAGTTTGCGCGAGTATCAGCAGATACAGCTACCTCACTAAGTTCGATGTGGTCAATCGTTTCGGGCTAGTACGGTGCACTTATTATGGTAGTAGGTGGGAGGAATTTCATAAATAAATAAATAATGCTTGCTTAAATGATTACTTAACTCTCCAGTCTTCGGTTTCTTTGGTTGGGTCCTTTCATGCGTTAATAATGAGCCTTTTGTACCAGTGTTTGGTACAGTCTACGCGGCAATCCAGGATGTCGTATTTATATTATTAGAAAGCACTACCACCAACATGACTGATTACCAGTAGTAAACGCCACGGAAGGAAGATGTCTGCTGGTTTTACGCAGACCCACAACAGTCGAAGCTAGGCCGACCTGCTAAATGTTCACGTCTCGTGATCTGTAAAATGACCAAAGGTAATGAAAAAGACAAACGCTGAAGAATGAAAGAATTTTTAGGTAAATGCTCATGAGTTTTGATGACAACTCATTCCTAGATTCACAACAAATATTCCTGGTAAAAGCGAAACGGGGTAGGTATGCTTCGGGTTTAAATCGTTTAAAAAGCGACAGTATATATTAGAGTGCTATGTAGATCCACGCGATCAAATACCTTCAATGAAAACAGAGTAATTCCTTTACAGTGATGCAAATTTCCAGAACAACCTTGACAATTGCTGCTTTGTTGTGGCAGGTTGGTGTGGCGACGTCATGTCCAGATTATTCAGGCTTATTTGTAGATCCGGAATCTACCAAATCGCAAAAAATAAACATATGACAAAAATATTTAATTGATCATGGTTAACTTTTCTACTGACATTATTTGCTGGTAAAAATTAAAGCTTAGCAAATTGTGTGCCTTAGTTTCACCCTAAGGATGGAAGTATAACTTGACGTTCAGCTTCTATGCAATTTAGAAGCAGCCACATTTTTTCCTTTATCCAAAAAGGTCGAATAAAAGCATATAAAGGTATTTAGCTAATTAAAATTGCCAGGTAACGGGAAGTTTTTCTATCTGGAGAGGCGTTTTAAGATGCATAATAAATAGGTTTGCAAAGATAAATTACCATTACATTCACTTAAATTAGGCATTCAACAGTTGGCAAAAATAGCTATTAAGTTAGAAATGCCAAATTTAGCTCCTGTCACGCGATACAATCAATACACATCACGTGCAGTCAACATGTTTGGGAACAATTCAAGCCCGGAAGCTGATCTTGATTCGCTGTTGGGCGATTTCCCTGTGGATGAATCCTCACAGACCTTTTTGGACCTATTTCGACTCAATCTCGTGGGCATAGAGCGAATCATCTTCATTTTCCTTTGCTCATGTATCATTATAATTGGGTTGAGCGCCAATTGTTGCATCATCTTGGCAAACGTTCTCCATCGTCTGCGATACAGCCGCGAGAACGACTTCTACACCGGTCGGGCTCGCAGTTTATCACGCATATCCATTGTCGGGGCGAATCCCTTCAAGGTGAACCTCACACCAGAGAACCGATTAAGCTACTTCAGTGCGCTATCTGGGCAGGCCAAATTTAGGTACACCCACGTTATTTTCGCAATAGCTATATTCGGCCTTTTATCCTGTGTAGCTTTTATTCCCCTCGCGGTAATAAATGTATGCGGTGGAACATCCAGTGCTGATGCAGACAATTGGATCGTGCTGATCTGCGTGGCGTGGAGTGTGTTCCAAATTCTCTTTATGGCAGTCTTCTTCTTCGTAAACACTACTATTCAATTCCTCAGCCTTGTGTTTCCTCTCACCTTTAAATTACAACGCAACCCACTTTGGGGCACTTTCTTTTTGATAGTGATTGTCTGTGGAATTCACGCATCTCTTACTGTTGTGGTAATCTTCAGGCAACTTTTTCAAACCTTATACGAAATTGGAGCAGGAAAAAAGAACATTGAGCTGGAAAAGAGTATCACCCAAATCCAACTAGTTCTTACCCTTCCACTTGCTGTATTCATCCTTACCTGGATCGCTACTATTATAATGTACGCAGTGATAGTAAAACATATCCACGTAGCCACTGTAACAGTCTCGAGGATTTCTATACAGCCTGATGCTCATCGCTCGTCTATCGGAAGTGGTCAGTCACCGCACCCGAGTCTCTGGCAGTCTGTGGTTAGAAAGAACTTTCACAAGTGTCTCATTCTCGGTGCAGGAACCCTCACCTTCTATATTTTGGAGACGCCCACTTTTCTGGTGGTGTACAATATCTCACCACCCAGTTCCTGGATGTTGGCGGCTCATTTATCGGTTCATGTCATCACTCCGTTGCTCCATATCATGCTGAGCAAGAGCTTTAGAGCCGCGCTGGGCAGAATGCTGCGTCCACGGAGAGCTGGTAATTCCATTGCATTTTGACGCCGTAAATGTGCCGATCAAACCCAAATACCAGACGCTACTGGAAAGATCTAGGATTTTTTACCACCTTGTTTAGATATCTCTGTATCTCTGCTACTTATTTTTCCCATGGGCATCTAAATTCACTCTCTGAAAAGACACAAGAAAATTCTTAAGACAAAGTAACAGATTTATATGCCATACCGCAAAGATGCCAATGATAGACTTTGCTGTATTACGAGGTCTTAATTTTTGTTTGAAAATTACGTTAGTTCCACACAAATTTCGGTAAAGTTAATTGACCAAGGCCATTGGCAAAACGTTTAATTACAAGAGGCATTTAATTTACGCTAGGACTCAATCTTTAAGGTTTTCGATAAAAGGAATCCTACTGTAACAGTACTACGCTTAGTGACAAGCGACAACTATGCCCTGTCCCACTTGCATTCTGGACGCACAAATTATGAGCAATGCATTTCTAGCCAGTCCACTTCAGCGCATTCTAATTCAGAGGTCGTTAATTGGGAGTACAAACAATGGTGGTGGAGTCTGTGCGTATATAAAGGTAGAATATAGTACGGCGATGGGACTTTTGAACTGTAAATACGTTCCAAAGATGCCTGCGCCTCTGTCAACTGCGATCTCGGTCGAGCTGGTTCCATTCGTTTCTCTTAGAACAGCCGTCATTCCTGTGAAACCCTGGTGAATGAGACTACAGATCGACTTACAGTCTGTGATACAAATACAAAGATTCGTGCCTTTCCTTGGAGGTGGTGAACTTGCACTCCAGTAGTAGTAATGAAGACCTTAATGATGGAGTACACTAAAGTGATAGCGGATTCATACAGTTGTGCTGACAAATTTTTCTTCGGCTAAACTTTGTACAAATTTGTTTAACATTAATATAAGTAGAAAAAAGGCAGAACGGCAGGTGCACTTTCTTTTTCCTTAAATTTATTTACTCACCCAACAAACTCAAAAGTCCCGGCTTGAGTTAAACAGTTCTAAAAGGTTCAATTCCACAGCTATTGGGAGACTTTCTATGGAATTTGAGCAGCCTAAAAATTAAAAATTTTTAGCCATAATAATTAGCATGATGAACAAAACTACAGTTTTAGTGAAATTTTCTTTCTATGTAAGTGAAATCGCAAATTTATGTAATCAAATTCGGCAAAATATATGTGACAGCCAAAGTACTTAGACTCATATCACTTTTATGAATTATCGTTTTGACTTATGAATTGGCATTTTTGTAAAGGAAGCTCGTTGCTCCAAAATTATGCCAGAAAACCCTGATAATATTTTATCCTACCTGAGCCCGTATGAGTAGCTGCGAACTTTGAAATTTGCATTTGTCAATTAAAAATGAAACCTCACTTGATTGCACCGTACCAAAATTTCTCACGAATCTAAAAAAAATACGTCCTATAAATATGAACAATTACAATTTGGCATACTTGGAAGTATTTTTTTGGGAGAGTTTTAATTAACATCTACAGGCTTGTAAATGATGACGAAAAGCTAGTTCCAATTGTAGATCAAAGTCGGTAAATCTCGAAGCTACCTTAGATTTTGAGTTATCAGCATGTCATGAATGGGCTGTTGAAGATACTTTTTAAAAAGGTAATAAGAATCCAAAGACATGCATTGGTAATCAAAATCCCATAGGAAAACACTGACACACTGGGACATCAGAAGACCGAAGTTTGGTTGTCCCACTAAATGCCAGAAAAGAAACTATGGTGATAACTTTAGTGCAATCCAGTGCAAGCATTACCCCGCAAGTTTTCATCAGAAAGTGACATTAAATAAACTATTTCTGCTATTAAGGATTTATTGTTGCATCCACACGTGTTAAATATATTTCCTACTTCTTTGATTTGAAATCAGCCATAGCATTTTTCTTTAGGTAGTTTTCATTAAAAGTACATTCAAGTGTGCGGTCATGTTTTGATTCATAAATCAATGTAGTGAAACCGGAAAACTCCTTCATTTGTGCTCTGGCCGGTGGAATCGCATTTTAATCCAGACAAATATTAGAACGGTAAAGCTAGTAAATCTGTATCCATCGGATAAGTTTGTCCATAATATTCTTAGATAGACCGATACCAAGTCCAGTGGTTTAATGAAATGATAGAAGGTTCTGAGAGGAAATGAATTATTTGTGGATAATTTTGCGTAACAAATCATCATGAATAACCTGGAACAAGCGTTTACTTCATCTAATTAACTTTCCAACTACCTAGTTTTTTTGAACAAAATGGGTAATTGGCTCTAAATTGTTCATGAGGGGATTCGGACCATGCATTGTTTTTAGGATGTACCTAGTGCGCAGTTACGACGCCGATTATTTTTATGTGCCCACCAAACAATTAGTAGTCTGAATAAATAATAAAATCATACGATAATAATTAATACTTCAAGTGGTTGTAAAGCTCGAAGAGTTGTAGCTGTGCAGTCTTTCTGTTCTCCTGAACATCCTCTCCGACGCTGCCTTGACCACCGCAAGGTATGTGAATACAGCTGGAATTACACTGGTGTTCTGAACCTCCGAAGAGCGTTTGATTTTAACGATGGCGAAGGATATTGGTAATTTGTCTGGCCATACCCCCCCTTACCAACTGCACTTAAGATGTCTGGTGGGGTAAGACTTTCGCCCAGAGGCGAATTAATTGTATAATGTAACTCCAGAAGTTGATACCTATTTTCTTTATTTCTTTTACCCTAGTTTCCATTTCAAGGATGACATACGGCTGAAGTTGGCCATTCCTCCCTTTTTCACAAGTAAAATAGATGTTAACATTTATAATGAAGATATTTTCACATAGGTATCATAAACCACACCTAAGGGAATATTTTGAATTCTGCAATGTTTTCGGTTTGGCACCATGCACTACGCTGAACATGACATTGGAGTGATTACCAAAAACTGCCGTGATTTTAGAATCCTCCTATTTACGCGTACCTGTAGATTTGGCCATTTACATCAAAGGCCTTACTTCTAAGAAGTTTTAATATAAAATCTAAGCAAAGAAATCGGGATCGTCTCCTTCTAGGCATGAATCAATTGCCGTTATTACTAGTATGGTGTCCAGTTTGTATCCTGTGGATATTATTAGCCATAAAGGAAGGCAGGGCGACTTAAGCATGAAGGGAATGCCATAAAACCATGGTGATGGTCACATACCAGTGTAGATAAACATGCAGTTAAGGTAAATATCGTTCTCCTAGTTGACTGGGAAAGGAAACCAGGTAGACCTTTGGATCACAGTATTATTATATGCGGAAAACAACTGTAACAACCATCTGCAGAATGCCTTCATTTAATAAAACTTACTACAAGCACGGAAAAAATGTACTCTCAATTAACCGTTAAAGTGGGACCGCATTTATTTAAAAGGAACGTTGAAGTGATGGTTAATTTTTGTGAAATTTAAGGAGTGACAACCGGAAGCAAAACATCACTTTGATAATTATAAAGATGACATAAAGGAAAGAAAGAAGGATCTGAAATATTTTAAAGGCACGTACTTCCGTTAACATTGTGAAAGTAGTCTATACGAATTAGAGCACTTTATACTTCGTCAACAAAAATAACAGGAAATAACCGGTTCTTATAACGATTATTCTCAAGTTCATTTTTTCCCACTTCAAATACTAGTCAACGGTGGTCAACACTTCCTATATTAGTAACCACAAACTATTAAAATAGACTCAGATGAGACGATAATATGCACAGCATGTTGATCATTTGTTTAATTAGTTGCTCCGGTTTAGCAGGCACTTAATTTTTTTCTCTTTTTATGGTCTTTGGACTACACCAGTAGTCCCCAGCACTTCTACAGGTTAGCAATATATTTTTTATCTTTGTGTTACAACTCTTTTCGACTTTCGGAAAGACTGAGGTTAGTAAAATAATTTATGGTCTATTTTATTCGTTCATCAAAAAGTAATTTTTACACACGAGAGCGATTTACAAGCATTCCATCGTTTCGGGAAACAAGAATTAAATTACATTACCTTTTTATATGCGGACACTTCATTGGGAGTGAGCTTGTCTTGCTTTTCACTTTGACGGAAGTGAAATGCAATTATCCCTTCATTTTCCGACGGAACAAAATTGTGGACGTAATTGAGTGGGCTAGTTTTTTCCGAAAGGACTCTTTTGCAATTGCAAAACATAATTTGCAGATGACTTAGCACTACGTTTATGCTGTTTGTAGAACTTTAATTTATTAGTGGAGTTAAGATTATACTGGCCCGTAGCACCATAAGACTTCTGAGAAAACAGAAGAAGGCAAAATACTAGGGTCGATTATTTGTTGCTGAGGTAAAGAAGAGCTGAGACGCCACTGGCATGGTCCGGTGGTCATGCTCCCCTGCGGAAGCACAAAAGCGGAGACTTAAGCGAAGCGAAAATAAAGGGATAAACGAACAATCAAAGCATAACAGACATATTTTTTTAGCCAAACTTCTCTCCTTATATTCCTACTTTATATTGATAGAATTTGATAATATCCAGATTTCTCAAATTATCCCACATTGACATTTTCCACAAATTAATCTTTTAGTCCTAATTGCTTCTTTTTCTAGAAGTAAAAGAGCAACTAAAGTCTAACAGAACTTAAGCCAAACAATACCCTTCCGGTCACTTTGATCGACAGCCGGGTGGAAAATTTTCCCATCTAATTCACATAGCTGGAAAACAATTAGTAGTTCAGGACAAAAGAAAAACAGGAATTAAACAATCTTCCCCCAAACAATCGTTAGCATTATAGTGCGGGTCATTTAAAGAGTAGCTACTGGTACATTTTAACCAGCCAAAATTTTGCGTGCATAACTGGTTCTGCCAGGCTATTACAATAAATAGACGATTATTTGGATATAGTAAGTTTAAGCAAGGTAAACAAGAAAATTTTCTGTGTTTTCCTAAAGCTCTTTAAAACATATCATGTCAGTAACAACCTCGGTGTGATGACTTTCCGTCAAAGTCTAAAACGTCTAAATTTTTATCTCTCCAGCGTACTTCTTTGCGGCTTTAAGGATGACCTAGAGTGCTACATTTGTGAGAGTCTTTCAAGTTTTTAATTAGGAGAAAAGCCTCTTTTGACTTTGTTGACAGAACGCTAAACTTAAAGATCAGAAATCGAGACTCTCAGTTGAGGCTTATCAGAATTACGTAAACTCTAGGCAACCCTTCAAGCTCGTGTTTTGCACTATGGAATTTGGGGCTGAAGTGGAACCACCTATAGACGGTGTGAAGTGTCCTTTTTAAGTTTATTTACAATAGTTTCCTTGATGATTCCGGAATTATGGCAAAATGATATGCCCTCAACCACAAGCAACTAGGACTCATGTTAAAGGAGGTATACGATGGGAAGGATGCGAGAAACAAGCATTGATACCAAGGAGGGCTTCGTTTGCATTGTCATATTTCGGCATCAGGAATGACTCGTAGACCTAAAATCCTTAAACTGACTAAAAATATGTATCCTTAATTTTGATATTTGTAACTTGCTTTAAGGGGACTGCGGTAAAAGGTGGAAATAAACTATTTCAGTATTCAGTAAGACCGTTTCACATCTATGTTCTCTAGTAGCCTTTGACAAGTCCTTACACTAAGAACAAAGATGCATTAATACGTCTCTGGCAAAGTGGTCAAAGAAAGTGTCAGCGGCAGATTTTGCTCTGGAGGGGATGATGGCACGGTTGCTTATATATACCTTGACATATTGCAACGCACTGACTATGTTAAATGCATGATTGAACAAGATAGTTTATTTTAGAGCTATTAAACAGTGCTTTTTATCAGTGTAGTTAATTAAACATGGTTAGATGGTGTAAAAGTCAAAAGTTGACATTAAACCTAAATTAAAAGTGAGTTTATGAAGACTCCATAATAGTGAACTCCACGTTTTGGTTTGCGGTTACTTAAGATTCCTCAGCTAAAATTCCATCAGGCAGCAAGATTCCAAAACTATGAAAATGTCCCCAAAGACTTTCTGTACTTTGGCAATGCAATTCAATTTCTGGCATTACGACTTGGAGTCCCACTTTAGCAATAACGGAAAGCAAATTCGATCACGAAGGACAAGTATCTTAATTTTCATTTCTGAATGCAAAACCATAATGTGCTGGAAGAACATGTACTGCTGATGAGAGCATCTGTGGCGACCTCTAACAGAAGGGTTGCAAGTGACATCTACCTTCGGCACCTACCCTAGTCTTGTGTTCTGCAGGAATGATATTCAAAAGTGGAGCGACACTAGCTGTGGACGTGAAACCTCAGGAAAAGTTTTGCTGGGTGACTGGTTCAGGGATCGTGTCTGCAGCCTCCTACCTCTCCAGTACATTAGCGATGTATTTCCTGTCCTAGTATCATAGTTTCCTTTGTTCTTAGGACAGACTATGTGTGCTTTACAAGAAAAACAATAGCAAAATATTAAATTTGTACCTGCGCGTATTTTCAATAACATGTTTCAGGATATTTCTAGGGAAGAAAAACCAATGTAAGTTGAATATATTTGCAATTTATCATGGACCTTCAAGTAAAAACTATACTCAACGAATCCATGAACGTATTTGGTTTAAACTATTCTAAATTCAATAAAATATCCCAGAGAGCCTGAAATACGATCAATAAATAATAAGGAATTGTAACATACAAGACCTTTTTCTAACACAAGTGATAGTTATTTAACGCATTTTCGGCTATTAACGAATGAAGCTAGTCAGGCCCCGTTAATAATTATTTGATGAGGCTAGGGGAGGGCTTGCCTCAAAATTTCTCACCAAAATTTTACTCGGTAATTATAACCGTAAGTTAGTGCATTTGACACTACAGATTAGAATGCGGTGTATACTTAATTAAGCGTCTCAACATGCCGACTATTGTGCTGTCGCTATGACTACCACTTGCCATTACCCCTAATGAATAGATGACATGAGGAGACACTATATATTTACTCTCTCGTTACAATTATTAGAGTTTCTGCAACCGTATGCCAATCCTCTTTTGCATCACCTTTAAACCACAAAACCCGGCCATATTCGTTGTGCAGACAGAGTCGGTATGAACCTTTTTGTAATAATAACGGGATAGGTCTTTATTAGCCTCCTTCTGACTGTAATTACCGTCTTTAAAAGTCGCCTAATAGAATTAACCTAGCAATTATAGTAACTTGTATGTTCTGACTATATAAATACAGACTTAAAAATAAATAGAGTTCACATTCAATAAATGCTCTTGATTTTAATTGTCCAAATTAAAAATAACTGCTACCGTAACCATACCGTGAGTCCCATTACCACTTACAATTTTTAAACTCACGTATTATGGGCTATTGCGGTTCACTGCAGGTCATTTTAGACACCATTCATCAAAAGGACGAATAGTAGTGGCGATGGCTGGATGCAAGCAAAAGAGTAAGGTGGATGATGAACACGATTGCTTGTTATTAGAAGAAGCCAGACACGAACCGGAGGACACCCACATCCCCAAATAACTTTAAATGAGGCGTAGTAATGGGAAGCCCACCCCATGTAGGGCGTTTGAAACGTGCAAAAATTTCATCTAAAGATTGAGGTGCGCATTTAAATACAAAGAGGGACTGCTTTAAAACTAAGATACAGCTGTTGCTTCCTTAAATTCACTTTTCCTTTTTCAAATTAAGAGTGTCCCTTTGGCTAGAGCGCTTTGTATGGTTTTCACAGCAATTTATATACTCTAGCTATATAATTACTGTTATTAAAAATAATATAGTAGATTTCATCTAGCAGTACTTTTGGGTTTCTTCCTCCTCGTTTGTCTCTCCGATGTTTGCGATTTTACTATAGCAAGTAGGCAACTGCCATTTGGGAAAGGTTGCCATCCGTACAACAAAGCCTAAATTAAGTATTTTTTAGGATATAGAACTCTTGTCAAATTTATGATCATGGCGCTAAGACGATAGGTCTGAACCTTAGTGCTGTAGACAATAACGTGAACCAAATGGTTACTGTGAGGCAGAATGACGTCAAGCGATTCCCTCTGCATTCGGGCAAGAAAGGTACATTTTCCAGAATGAGAAATTAATTGCAAAGGCTTTTTTACAAATGAATAAAGAAACTTAACCTACTTTTATCTGTTTGTCTGTTTAATTTCTCACTTTGGTTGGTTTGGCAATGCATAATCTGTCCTGGTATTATAAATTCTTCTGTACTCATGTATGCCTCAAAGCGACATTATATTTTTTTGTAAATATACTTTGACTGGCCCTAAATATATCACTAATGCTTGAGTTCAAGGATATCATTTAGTTTCTATAAACGGGCAAAGAGGTGTACACCCAGAAAATATTAGCCAACATAAAATTACATTTTCCCACTTGCAGATTTTGTTTGCTCGAGAGAAAAAAATGCAATTTCCCTTTATACTTGGCTTCATTCCTCAATGCCTATAAATCACAAAACAGATAAAAATGTAAAAGGATGACTTCTGCGTCAGTTGGAAATGTCGATCCTTCCAAAAAACGAGGCTTGTTACTTATACAAAAAGATATAGGATGTATCTTATTACAATAGGGTTTCCGCTGGTTAGTGCGGCGCTGCCAAATGTTTCTGTTTGAATGGTATAGCAGAAAAGATCATCATTTTTGGTGTTCGTCTGTCCGCACGTATTTAAATCATATCCTAAATATCCACTGAAATATGGGAGGGGGAAAGTATACTCCAGCGAGATCCAACACGTTAATTCATTTTAACAAACCACTAAACGGAGGATCAAAGCAAATTTTTGAAGACTTGTCTATTATGTTACGCATGCTTAGTGCGAGATATTGGCGCTACGGACATCAGTGAATGTCGTAGTTAGGTTATTTGATGTTCCGTGTGTCGCATTTAACGTACCACGCAGTCGGGTGATAAGCTAGCCGATTATTTTGAAATACCGCTGCATGACATTAAATAAAAAGGTGTTAAAATGCAATAATTCCAGTTCTACGGCAAAAGACCACTTTGTACAGATAGTGGAGTTTTTTACTGCAAGAGATCACGGGTCAGCCAAGACTATCGCCTTTCATTGGCCAAACAAACAGTGCCTACGCAAAAAAGTCATATATAAATGAGGAGAAGGAATAGCTGAAAAAACTTTAAAGTTAAAAGTATAAGGCCATGTAGCTGTACTTGAGGAAAATTTTCACATAAATCACTGTAAATTCTAAAAAGTGCGTTCATATTAAGGAAGAAGATTTTGACTTAGAGAAGAATAAATTTAATCAGATGAATACCTTATTCCTTTCATAAGTATTTCTCAACCCTTTGATGGAATTTTGTACTTTTCAAACGTTCTAAACAGGGTGAATCTGCTATCGCCGTGCCTTGTTTGAAGTCTTATGAAGACATGAGCTTCCGCCAGTTTGTATATAGTTTATTTTTTTAAAAAAGTTGCAGCTTTTACACAGAATCACTACCATTACCACTTGTCCTTTCGATTAGCAGTGTATGGACTGAACCGGATTGAGTTGGAAATTGTAAGAGGTGATAGGACAAACAGGTTCCCTGCTTTTGGCCATGGCACTGCCATGATGGCAGTTAATTTCAGTTGAGGCATCAAAAACTAAGGATGATGCCTCAACTTGAGTTCTTTTGCATACTGATTAATAAAAGAATTACAATGGATGTTAAATGCATGCAAAAATACGTATCCATTTCTTAGGTAAAAGCGCCTTTCTTGCTTTTAGAACAAATGCAAATACTAAGGCTCTAATCTTCGAGTATGATTTATGAAAAAATAAGATCGCCTGTCCCATCGATAGACAGAGAATCGCAGAAGCCTATCAAATGGGGGACCCAGGAAGACAGGCATGTGTCCATCAAATGTCACCACCAGTGATGTAACTTGTAACTTGGAAACAGAACTAAAAAGTAGTAAAGATAATATGGCTGTCAAATGTTGCAAAAAGGCGTAAATCGAAAACGAGTTGAGGTAATATTTTTTCCCTCATTTAATGTACCAATCTTTGCATTGGATAGCCTGCCTTTTCCACAAATTTGGGGATATTGTATAGAGGGTTGTACAAGGCTATGATTAAGACTTCAAGACTGTGCCTCAAGTAATTCGTTAGTGCTGATTGTTTCTAAAGAAGATTTTTTTGTACTCGTTTGAGTTTTATCCTACCAAAGGCATGTTTGCCTTGTGATTGTAGTCTGAATTTTGGCAGTCCAACACACACAGAGACCCACTGCGTAGTCTTTTGGAACAATCTGATATCTTATAAGAGTGTGACCATGAGTCAATCATTTTGGGGAAGCTAATGTTATATTCGTTCTCTTCACGAATACTACAATGAAAAATCATACTTTACCATAGGGTGGTAGATTAAAACTTAAAATGAGGGTCATGTTTTCATAGCCTAGATGGGAGAAGTGAAAAACGAATCGGTAGTCTTCAAAGCTTCTTAGCATCTGTAAATGCAAAGAAATATTCACTCTAAAACTAGCACATCTTAATGCAATAACGAACGACTTAGCTGCCTTTTATTAGGAATTGGTGGGTGTTTCAAAATCATCCCCTTAGTTTGCTAAAAACTCAGCCCTATCTACTTTAGGTGCAATGCAGTATCGGTAAAAGTATATCATTTATTTTTAAAATTGCAGTATCAATTTGCATGATTGGAGGTTCCATTCTCAGTTTTATTTATATCAGTTATGAATTGGTTCAGTGGGCGAAGGGGTATTAAATGGGGTCAGTAGAAGACACTCGAATCGGACACACAGTTATAGACTAACAAAATTGTATAATGGAATAGGAAACTAGAAATCTCTGTCTCCACTGGGCAATTTATGGTTAGAATTGTCATCCCACGTTATAAGTAGCCAGTTAGCAAATATAGTACACGTAATCTTTGAAGGAGCTTGCTTTTTCAATTATTGTGAACCTTATAAAATATGTAAGCTCTGGAAAAGCAGTTTCTAATTGACAAAATGGCATAGTCATTACTTTGTTTCCTATAAATTTTAATCAGAGCAATGTCTTCATGCATATTCACTTAATGAGTTATCTTCCATTTCTAAGTAGCAACAGAGCAATGGGTCACACGATAGGCTTGTCTCCCTTGTCAACCGCAAATTAAGATCTAAAGCAAGAGACCAAGCCGCACGTAAATGAAGACGTTGTTGGTTTGTAGATGGCTAGATGAATATGATAGAACCATTATGTGAGGTATATTCAATTTTTGACTTCAAATAAATGAACAGTAAAATAAACTTTTTTTTATCTGCATCGCAACTAACTAATGGGATAGTAATTTAGCCTATAAATTAACCGATAAGTAGCAGCTTGTTATTTCAACACGTAGTAAGAAAGCTATAGATAAAATTTTTAATTTGTTTGAAGAACTGATACTTTTACACGGAATTGCAGTGGCAGATGAGTGAATTCAGCAAAGGCAAAAGCCGCTCCTCAGTGTCGAACAGCACTAGCTATAAACTACTAGTGGTAAACATATTTGTTTACTTGCTCCTCATTTGGTCCCTTTTTGCTGCTGTTGTTGAAACTACTGTGTGACACTCACATCACCACTCTCGTAGCCGTTGTAATCTATTAAAAATGTTACTTCCATCGCCGCTATTGCCATTAATATCGCAGTCTTCGTTTGGCAGTGGCTGCGTAATTAGAACCACGACAAGTCAAATAAACTCGGTTTGATACTAGGTTTGCTTTGTTGCCCAGCTTTATACTCTAAACTCGTCGTTTGTTTAAGGTGTTATGAATGGGCTGGTGCTCTAAACCATAAAATTACACAAATAACAGCACACAACTACTCCCTAAACTGAATTTTTGTGGAATTTGTGCCATACTTTTCGTGTAGAGGGTGACACTAAGCACCGATATAGCAGTGCTAATAGTTGCTGACCTTTCAACCTTCGAGAACATTTATTTTTTTGCTGAACGGCATGAGTTAGGACGCAGAGTGAAGAAAATAACTACTACAATTAACTTGAAAAATGACTTACATGATTGAGTGTACATCAGAGGAAGAAGTACATATAGTCCAAAAACAAAGATACCGACTTGCTTTAACATTATTTGCTATAGCTGTCAGAGATTTGAAGAATTCCATTGGTCTAACAGTAAGACAGAATATGTATTGCCAACGTACAGAAGGGCTAAGGGACTACTAGCATAGTCTTGCGGCCAGGCCACCCAGTGGAAGAACAGTAGTCCGATCATAATTGTCCATGTAACCAAACGATGAGTTAAGCAAGCACTCAAAGCCTTGCAGAGCCTTCCTCCTCTTTTGAGCAGCTTTGCTGGCGATCTTCTTTGATCAACCTTCTACGTCGTCGGTGATGTAAGTAAAATCCCCACAAGCAAACCATGCCAGTTGTTGAATTTGCATGGAACTGCAAAAATGTTAGACCCAAACGTCACAAATCCCTTTTAGC